TCGACATTGGCCTATTTACTTGAAAATTATTTTAAGTATCAAAAAGCGAATTCTATTCAAGGCAGCAGCCCTTTTCACAAACTACAAAGTATGCAGAAACAATTAATAGATTGATTTTTTTAATTTCAACTAGGGTATGCCCTTGCGATATTGAAATTTGTTAATGACATACATTCAGTACACGAACTATGCATTCTTCACGTGACTGTCCATCGATGGGACTAAACTTCATATAGTACAAAGTGGGTTATACTATGCTTTTTCCATAAGTATTAAAGTCCCGTGATAATAAAACAGCTTAATAAAAATAATTTCCGTTTTAAAAAGGCTCTCCTTTTTTGCAGGTCTATTTTCCGTTGATTTCTCATAGTAATCCTTAGCAGTGCTGCATTGGTGCTGTCTACGTCTTTCTAAAATGTATAAGTTGCTTTCTACGTCCTTCTAAGATGTGCTAGGTGCTGCCTACGTCCTTCTAAAATGTATAAGATGCTGTTTACGTCCTTGTAAGATGTGCTTGGTGCTGTCTACATCCTTCTAAGATAACCTCCTTGTTGTCCAAAGAAATAAATTCATATGTTTATGATGACGTATTGTGTAACATTAATATTTGGAGGCTAATGTATCAAAGTTGAAATTAATCGATATATTCTTGATAATTTTCTGATAATCATAATAATGTCATCAGATAATAATTTCTTTGAGTTTTATTTTGAAATAGCTGATTTTTTTTATTCCATTCAAAACATGTTTTAATTGAAAGATAGAAAATGAACACAAAACATCACAGCATAACATGCATTAACTAAGTGAGAAAACGGCACACGTTTCATTGTAATCTTTCAAATTCAACTATTATGACAATTAATATGAACTTCAATAAAATCGATACTTGTAGCAGATCTGCAGTTATTTTCTTTGATCTTTATGTGGTGATTTATTATACATAACATATGCAATAATACTTTCCAAGCCCCGTCATAAACCACTGCAGGAGGCATAAATCAGGTGAAGAGTTTCTTTTTATTCAGCGCTGCGCTTTCTGTCAACGTAAATCTACTTCAGTTCTGGATCCAGCGCCACTATAAGCAAGATAGATAACTCCACTTGTTATTCTAAAAATATGCAACTGGAAATCCCTGACTCTCTTTCTGCTATTTTAGTGTAATGCTGCGTTACGTGCATTTCTAATAATAGAAGGTAAATAGTAAGGTTTAAGGATGTTCCACATTTAGAAGATAAGAGCAGTTCTTATCATGCTCTTCTGTATACATTGTTGTTAATTTAAATCATGTCGGCACACATTATATTGGTACCTCGTAGCTTACAATTGCTGCCTCTATGGCGCAATTACTTAATTATAGAACCATTATTATGTACACGGTACAGGATATAAACTCAGATGGGATTTTGATGAAGTTTTAAATCTCAAACTGGAAGTGAGTTATTCAATAAAAGAAATCACATAAAAATGATTTACAATGTACTACTTACATAATATGGTACGTTTTATATATCCATATAAATTAATATAATTATTTGTTTTCTTCTGGACAATTATTTCAGGCAATGTAACTTAAACAAGCCTTTCTATTAACATCTTAAGCATGTGGTGGATGTGCTTTCAACGAATCCACTCAAATAGTAAAATTTATTTCTCAGAATACATGTATTGTGCTCTAAAATTGTGTGTGTAGTGCGCAGGATATGGCGAAACATGCTGAAACTTTAATAAACGTTCTTAGAAATGGACAGAAATTGTGCTGATGAAATGTTAAGCAAACGGTGTAATACTTGAAGTAGGGACTAGGATTAAATAGTTTATGTAAAGATGTGTCTCAGCTGTGTTGCCGATTCTTAATAAAGACTAAATAAAAAGAGAATAAAATAATGTTGTATACCTTCATGAAGATTTATTAATATTTGAGATTAATACTGTATTTTCTTTCTTGGACTCTTGCATTAATCATCATTGAAATAGCAGTTAATCCTACGGATGTTAATTTCTTTTTCATATGACGTTGTTACAAACATGATGCCAATCTTCAATTTGAAAAACTTGCAAACGCAGAATGAATTTTTTATTAAATATGATCACCAGAAGATTTTCTTTCAGTGTTGCACGTAAATGAATGAGAGGAATTTTAGCGACATTTGCAAGTATTAACATTTTATCAAATACAATGAAACTATACATTTTCCAGCAAAGGTATTGTCTTCAGACAGTATAGCTACATGTACATTAAGAGTTTAAATTTGATCGGAAAACTCGATTACCATCTCGAAAGAAAATAATTTTGCACGCAGAAATATTTTCTTGCAATTTCTTGTACAGTACTTAAAGTAAAACAGATTGATCTTTTGACATACGAAGATAATGTATGATGTTTGAAAAAAGGCATGAGGCAATGCTGAATTTCATATACCAACGGGGTTTACATATTCAGGACTTTTTGACAACTGTGTTCGACCTAGCGCTATTGCACTGTCAAAATATCGCTTAGAATTCAAAACAACAGGATATTTTAAATTAAAATAATTCTGAAGAATTCCAAATCAATATGCTTAGGGCTTCCCAGTACTTTTAGTACTTTGATTGAATTTTGATACTCTCAATATTTACGTCATGCGACAAGATGCTTATATCATAGATTGCCTCGTTCTATTGGTTATATCGTTTTCCTGGGGCGGGGAAATTTCGGGCGCTCCACGTCATCGATTTTTATGCCCCATGAAAACGATGTAATCAACAGTACTAGACATCTATAATGTTATCTATACTTACACAACAATAGAATATAGAGTACGTAACAGTTAGCCAATCGCTTTTCTTGAATTGATTAAGGTACGACACATATATTTGGCTGTTGAAGGTTTAGGATAAAGATAGATGTCTTCCAAGGAAGCGAATATACGATCAGACGTAATCTTAAGAAGACTCCATTTAATGATTTCGAACTTTTTACACCATGCTTAATGAAATTATTTAAGAAATAAGGTATCATTTTTAAACATCTATCGGGATATAAATACGGGTCGGTCACGAGATTAAATTCCATAAAGCCCGAAGGGCTTTATGATGAATTTAATCTCGTACCGACCCGTATTTATAGCCCGATAGATGTTTTAAAATGATACCTTATTACTTATATTTACATTTGTGACTTATTCATACTTTATGTTTGCCTGATTGTGACTTTTAACGTGTGAAATGCATTATTTTTCAAACCCAACGGCATGTATGTAATCCACTGAACGCGCGTCGATCCTTTATGACGTCACTGAGAAATTACGTCGAACGTTTATCCATACGCACATCTATGACCTCTTGACCCCATACCTGTATTTATACAGTTATAGATACGCATTGCTTTCAGTAGTGTTATATAAAGGGAAACATTTGCAAATGTAAATATATTAAAAAAGATAATGGTTGCAAATGTTTATTTTAATTCAATTTTAAAAGAATGGAACCTTCTGTACTATCTACGTCCTAATCTTTTTATATATATATCTTTTTTTTTTTTTTTTTTAAGTGCTGCCAAAAGCTTATCTGAAAAAATATTTCAAAGAAAATTTTTATCGTCAAAGAGGACGAGTAGGACTATGGTACTGTTTATCAACAATTCTATATTTCCTTGTATGGTGTTTTCTAGCATTGCTTATGTCCGGTTATGCTAACATCGACATTCATTTAAGATTTTAAGTTACATGATACGACTAGATTTTCGGTGTTTTATATAGCTATCCATTGTATGAATTAAAACATATTATGTATAAAACTGAAGTATATTAATGCAGTTTTCAACAAATATATTTTGAGTAGCAGTACTCTTACCGTTTAAAAATAAAATGTACAAAAGTTTTGCCCCTGACTTGTTTCTGTGCGTATTTTTTCTTAATAATTCAACTTCAACGCCCCAAAACTCACTACTGCTTTTGAATTTTGAATCCAAAAAGGTTTATAAGTTATACAGACATGTAAATTCTGATTTAATTTCCATGAATTAAAATTTGTGAATGTTTGGAGGTACGATTGGGTTACAACTGCGCCCGCGCCATTTTGGATTTACGAGAAAATATGGGGCATACTAAACTTAACTTCTCTTGAGCCTTCATCGATAACACAAATCTGGTTAAAACACCTAACGAATTGATGCCATCAAATTTTGTAACACGATCGTCTATTTTACTTTGATTGTCAACTTTGCCTTTTTCAGACAGTTAGGTCTGTTTTACGCAATATTTTGAGCGAGACTCAATAAAAACATGCTATGTTTGACACTCGCTTAAACCATTTCAGAACAAGAAGATTTCCGAAATAGACCACCATATGATAGATTGAAGTCTATATAAACATTCCACCAACTGACATTTGATAGCTTACGCCCGAGTAATGAGCAAAAGTTGTTTTTTGAATTTTAATTTCATCGAATTGCGTCTTTTGTTACGTCATGTTTATTTTCAGTATCTTAAGCATGCGGAAGTCTGACGTCATTTTCTGAGTTATTACGTCATACAAATTATTAAGTGACGTCACAATATGTGTATATTTCTCTGATCTTTCCAATGATATCAATCTCAATAATTTTCGTGAAACGGTTATTTTTTTATTAAACAGTTCTCAGTTGAAATGTCCCTCGTATATATCTTTTTATATTTATATTATAATTCCATATTTAAAAGATAGCAAATAATAAAAAGAAACACTGTGCAACATCACACATAACAGGCATTAACTCAGTGAAAAAAAAATTCAACAACGAACTGTTCATTGTTATATTTCGATTTACAATTTCAGAATAAACATTTATGACAATTCATACTAAGTTCAACAAAATCGATGATTAAACAACAGTAGAATGTAGAGTATGAACAGTTAGCCAATCGCTTTTCAGGCTTTGATTAAGGTACAATATATATATTTGGCTGTTGACGGTCCATTTGGCAGCATTGTACAGATTTACACGAACGCAGCAGTCTTTTCTTAAGAAAGAAAAAAAATGAGCAGTCAGTGTGTTATCTCCTTAATTGTCGGGTTCTTGGCTTTATCTAAAGCGACCATTATTTCTCAGAAATATACCACAAAAGTTGTATTTAATGATAAGAAATCAAATGATGAACTTGTCGGGGAATATAACGCTCATTCTTTGACCGAGTGCGCCGCGATGTGTCAAAGGGAGTGCGTTTTCTTTGGATTCAACAGTCAAATGAAGAAATGTCGTACCCACAAGAAACTATTCACGTGTGAGCTGTCTGATGAGGCCGGTTGGAGATACTACTTTCATTACGGTATGTATATTTGATATTTTGTTTCTGTTTGCTTCTTTGTTTTAGGCCCTTCTCGAAGAGGCACGATTTTTTTCTTTTGAAACTTCTTTTATGTAGTATAAACAATTGTAAATAATAATATAAGTGTATTTCCGTCATAATTAGCAATGATATTCATTTAAGCTCTGTGACAAGGCCTAATCTTGAAAACGGAAAGTTCGAGGACAATTCATAGACCTAACAATCTGTTAAAAACGTCAGTCTGAATTTGATAGGATAGACTGTGTTGGAAAACATGATCATTGTATCAACATTATAATTTGCGAAATGTTAAATTTCACAAACATTATATCATATAAAAAAGAAGATATCATGATTTTTCTAGATTTTTCAACAACTTATTTATCTATTTTACTGTCCAAATTGTTTATCATCTGATCTGCAAATGCACTCCCCTTTAACATTTCTTTTAATCAACAGAGTATTGAAAATTGTTGCATGTTATTTTAAATACTTTTAATTATGTTATTAATCAGAGATTTGTAGCAATAAGAAAACAAGAAAAAAATTATTTTAGATAATGGAGAACTGTTCAACCTAATCTGTTTTGTACATGTAGTCAACATTTTAGCTTCAACAATTAACATTTATCATGCAGGCATTATTTCTCCTCTCACTTCTTGTACATACGAATAATATGATCCCTGCATTTTTTTTTTTTAGATTGTGTTTTTTCTGCCATGCCCAAAGATTGTAACGAACTTTATGAAGATGGAAAAACCAGTACAGGGGTGTATGATATATACCCCTATGGGACCATTACCAGTCCTGTCCGTGTCTACTGCGATATGAGGACAATGGGCGGGGGATGGACGGTATTTAATTTTTTCTTAAATTAAAAGTACATTATATAACTCACATTGTTTCTGTTTTAATATTTTAAGATAAAAATAATGAATATTTTGAGTTTATATCATAACATATGGATCCTATGATTGTTCGAAGCAATAGATTGTATTGTAATACATTTTAATTTTCAAAAGGCCATTCAGAAACGCGTAGACGGCTCGGTGAGCTTTGACAGGAACTGGATGGAATATAAAATTGGATTTGGTTCACCAGGACAGAATGTATGGGTTGGTAAGTGTAAATCACTTTCAAATCAGAACTTTTTATTCCTTCAAAGTTTGAAGGAAAAAAAATCCTAAGGCAAGTAAAAAATTAAAACTTAATAAAGATCTGAATTAAAGACTGGTTATATTCAAATACCGTGTTTAATTCATATCTCAAAAATAGAAGGGAAAATAGAAGAGAAGAAAATCATTTAGCGGCATATTTGTACAAGACCAAATTTAGCATTATTGTCTAAAATTCAGGAAAAATAAGTTGATATTTTTTTTTAAAGAAATTAATTGTATTACAATGGACCTTCAAGCTGATTTCAAATATATCTTAATATAGGAAATGATGTAATCCACCAGTTAACAAAAGAATGCATCTCCTCCCTTTATGTGTCCATCACTCTCCAGAATGGCACAACACTCTATGAAATGTACGACGGATTCTCAGTCTCCAACGAAGCTGGAAAATATCAACTTTTTCTTACAGGACCTGCCACGGGGACCTTAGGTAAGTGTATCCAAGTTAATATCTAAAAATTGGGTTCAGATTACGTATATCATCCCAATTATACTTTTCTGTATTGAAATATCATTAAGTGGTTTTTTTCTGATATCCTGTATAGGTTTTTGATTTCACGCTAATCAAACATGTTTAATAATTCAGAATGTCATTTACAGGTACAATTCAAGAATTCAGCAGACATTGTCAAGTAGCTTAAATTTCAAATTATATATTTTAAATACAAAGAAAAATATGCTATTATTTTAACCCAACAAATTCCAGTAATTACATTCGCTCAACCATTATTATTCAGCTTGGGTTTTCTGGTAAAATTTTCACATGTTAACTTCTACGGAGAAAGAATTTTACAGAGTTTAAATGATCTATTATGTCAACATATTCACAAAAGAATTGATGATAAAGGAAAAACCATTTGCTCTGAAATATATTAAAATTAGAAAAAAACAAATTCAAAAGAACTCAATGTGTTTCATTTTTACTATACCTTTTCCTTACTAAATGAAAATCTAGTATTTCACATTTAAAATACTACAAAATAGGAAGTTTACAGAGCGTCATTAATCTTAGATGTCAAAGAAGTTTACGAAAATTTGATGATAAAAAATGATCTGATAAATATTCAAATAAAGAAAAAATTAAAAAGGCAAATTCAAAACATCTCAACGCGTTTCACATTTACAATACTTATGCTTTTTTAAATGAAAATCTAATATTTTAAAACATTTACAGGTACACCATATCTTATTTTGTTATAATTATTAATGAATTACTCCGTATTGCATTTCATACATTTTTAAAAGCACTGTCTCTGACATATATGACTATTTCATTTATTCATGTTGTCTGATATTTCCAGTCACCTTAACACACACACACCCTAAAAAATACCATGATTTAGAGGTGTAACACGCCTGTGGTTTATTGTTACACTAGAAAGGATGCTATATGAATACCGAAGTGTTTTGTTGGCTTGTTTTTTTTATCTCTCTTTACAAGAAACAACACGTCAAACTGTGTATCTCAGATGTACTTCAGTATTAAGTTTAATGTGACGTAAATTAATGATTATTATCTCTGTTATATATTTTCTCTAATTGTGTAGGTGCAAGTATGATAGAACCGGTGACTCTAGGACTGAACTATATAAATATTATTGCTCTTTCCAGCTAAAGTCGTCTATCTTAGAAGTACCTCAGTATTACAAGTATTATTAACAATTAGATTGCAGATAAATAAATCAATTATGTCTGTGATTCCTTTTTTGTCCTTTACAGGTAACTCTATGTTAGATACAGGTTATTCTTGGCGTGATCTGTCTGGGATGGCATTCTCCACCCCGGACAGAGATAACGACAGGTCTAGTTTTGCTAACTGTGCTGCTAACTACATAGGAGGCTGGTGGTTTAACGCCTGTACCTACACATTCCTTAACGGTCCCTGGTCCCCGGGATCCTGGGATAAACCATGGTATCCCACAGTAAGGAATGGGACGTCAGTGAAGGGCACCACCATGATGATCAGACGGAACTAGGTAAATTTCATTAAATATTAATAATCAGGTTTTTTTTTTTTTTACTTTTGTATTACTATGAAAATTTCATTTATAAACCTTTTTAATAGAAAAAATATGCTATTATAAAGGGTGTTATGAAAGTTCGTTCCACATATTTTTTTTTTTTTTTTGAAAAGAAATAAGATGAGAAGATATTAAAAATTTGTGATATTTCATGTTTAAAGAGTTAGTTTTGGCTGCTGATAATGTTTTGTCTTTTGTTAAATCAATAAGCGGAGGGCAGGTATTAAAACAGATGATGTATGTTCAGAAAACATCAGGGATGACGTACATTTGTGACATATCTTAAGCACACAAGTCAGAACATCCTTTCAAATACATACTATGCAAAAATCATCAAATCTTTTGAACATTTCAAAATGACAAACCTATTCTGTTGAAAACTGATATATCGTTGTTATACCTACGTTAAAGCTTGTCTGATGCAAGATAACCTATGAAGAAACAAAAGTAATTTAACCTTTTTTTCACTCAAAATGACCAGCATTTCTATCATGCATATATTTTCATATGGATGAACAATTCCATAACTTCCTGCTAGAAATGAAATGCTTTAAATCTTAGGCACACTATTGTGATTTTGTCAGATTTGAAAATTTATCTCTTTACTTAAGCACTATTTTGAAATCTTTGAAAATATTTCATCATGGAATTAACTTTCTTAACACCTCTTACATGTATCTGTGAAGTATGAATTTATTTCAATTTTACAGATGAAAGATCATCCATGGGTTATGCAAACTCTCAAGAGACGATTTTAAAATAAGGTTTATCGCTGAGTTCTTTTTTTAATATTTAACATCTAATAACAAACATGTAAACAGATATGTTTTCGGTAAAGCGATACTGAATGTATTAAGGAAAAAAATGTACTTAATATATGTTGTAATAAATTTGAAATTAGAAATATTTCGTTCTTTTTAGCAAACACTGATACTTGAAGATGTCTGGGCGGAGAATTAGGATGAAAATTACTTTATTGTTAAACCTATTACAGTGGAATCTGTTTGATCAGACATATGTGCAATACGCTTTACTGTGATTTCTGCCATTCAATTTCATTTCTCATTTATACTTATGTCAACGATCTTTACACGCTGCAATACTATACCTTGTTTATTCCGACACATATATCTGTGATCTCTCTTCCCCCTGCATGTCGGATAAGAAAGGTTTCATTGTAATAAAGATGTTAAGAGCCATTCTCTGTAATGATTTGAAATTTTATATAGGAGCTGTGGCACGCATAGTCTCAGAATTTCTCCAAACTCTCTATGATAAAAGGCATTGATACCCTGAACTGAAATCAGGCAAAAATTGGTTGCTATGTTTTATAGTTACCATGGCAACATGTCTTAAAGTTCAAAAAATGGCATTTTTTAACATGTTTAGAGCCCCATAGTTAACATTTGCGGCAAAGCAAGCAATTGTTAATGACTGTTTCCAAAAGTTGAAGGTAAGATGTCTCAAATGCATGATAAACATGTTTGGTAAATCAACTATTACATACGTTACTATGGTAACAAAGTATTCAAAAGTAAAAAAAATATTCATTGAATTTTATGAAGTCATACTCGTAAAAATGAAAAGCAGTTATAGGATGAAATGTTACCAAATAATAGAAAAAAGAGCCTTGAAACACATACCAAGAAAAAATATGATATTTCAGTTTGGTTGGCAATGGTTGCCAAGGTTTTTATGCCCCAGAGAGCCTTCAAAGTAACACTATGTATGTTTAAATATGATCCTATCTTTAAAAAAAAGCACATTTCCTCATACCTAATGATCAATTTTATAAGATGTTGGTGTGCTCCAAATTTTCCCATTTCAAAAAATTCATATTATATTCTTTAAATAGAGCGTTGCTATGGAAATAAGCAGAAAATATATGCTTAAAAACCTGAAAAATATTTTGTTTCCTTGGATACGTACCCTTAAATGTAGATTCCCAAAACTTTTATGATTGATATTTATTAACAGCTAACTTGACTTTTAATTTTGACTATCATCCAATCTCTAAGTGGATGCAAGAAGTTGGCACACAGGGTTTAATATTGATATAAAGTTCAAAAAATCGAACATTTTCCCTTCTTGGTAACCAGAGCAACAGTGTTGTTTTATTCATCAAATTTTATCAATATATGATATTTAACTTCAGTTCGAACAGATAAGACTATTCCAGCTGAGCTCTTTAATTTGTTTCTTGATTAAATGACAATTTAACTCTTAATGCAGCTGAAAAAAATTCACTTTTAAGCACTGGTACTTTGTTTCCATGGTAACACTACAAAGTAGCAATTATACCCAATTTTTCTTATGGTTTTGGTGTTGCAAGGTCCTAAGGATGCATATTTGCCAGTCTTGAATTTTCATGTTTTTCCTCAAGACAGTAGCATTAACCCAATCTTAGTTACTGGTTTTGCATGGTTACACTGTGTTACCATGGCAACCATAAAAGTTATTTATAGAATAATATTGCTTATACTTATATACTTAAGGTCAAACATTTTCATTGTTTTTCTTAAGTCAATGATTGAGTTTTAGCATGTAACACCTACCATTAGTGAATATGGAGTGTTTTTCAGCATATTTCAGCATTTTAAATGTATTCCAAATGTACCCTTGGTTACCACTTACTTAGAGATATATTCTAAACAGTTTCTTCACAGTATAAGTGACATCAAGGTGTCATGTTTTTGTTAGAATGGTTTATTTGCTTTTTCTAGTTTTTATTAAGCCACAGTCAGGATTTAAAGTGGCTGAAAATCTCGATTTTTCAAACTTTTCCGGATGTTGCCATAGCAACCGAGACACTTAACAACGAAATTTTGTTTGATATTTGTTTCTGGTGTCAAGTACTAAGCATGGGTGAAGTTTCATCAAAATCGGTGACCATGCGTGGCAACGAAGTTTAAGCGGTTACAGAGAATGGCAATTAAGATGTTTATATATATATATATATAAAGAACATTGGGTATACGAGGGTTGTCCAAAACGTTCGTGGATACTGACGTTTTTGTGGAAATAAATGGTTCTATATGCATCTATTGTATATCAAAATATTTCTTATGAAAAAAGCAAGTCAGAATGATTTAATATTTAATGATGGAATGATAAGAAGCGATCCTAGTTTTAAGTTTCCTTGCGAACATAAAGAGAAGCTATAAATAGTTAACCTTAAATCATGAGGATAATCTAGATCTCTTCCGAGGAAACGAATTCTCTACATTAATTTGAAAAGACACTTTTAGATTATTTTGAACTTTTTTTCACTGTGCTTAATAAATGTGTGCGCGGAGCATGATATCACGTGATTTAGCCATTTATTAGTTATGGTTAAGATTAAATTCCTGAAAATTTCTTCAAAATAGTATCAAACTTAATAATAAATAAAGGGGAGTTTTAGTCCGTCTTCTCCTGTATAGTAGGTGTAGTTTCTCTCAGTCACCCAGCGCCACCTACCGTCGTTATGATGATTCAAAAGGAGGCCAAAGATTTGGTCAACTGCTGTCTCGCCCTCGTCGTTAGGATTCCAGCTCTGATACGTCACAGGTGTCCAATTATCAAAAAATGAGTCTTTTGTTGTCGTCAAATGTCAAAACATTGGCACAGAATGCAAATGAACTGTTGAGATCAACTTCTGCAGAAAAGGACAAGAGAAAAATATCATTCTCAAATTTGAAACACCGCCGATACAATATGATACAATATGTTGTTTTAACATCCTGTATGCTGTAAAAAAAATATAAATTTGATCTGCTGTATCCAAATTCAAAATTTAAGAACAGTTAGGTGGTGTTAGAATATTTTCTCAAAAATAATTTCATTTTTTGGATGAATCATGTTTATGAATGAAATTAGAAATTAACAATTTTGATACACTGCAGAAATATATTTTCCAAATTTAATGTGCAGTTTTTTTTTCATTTAAAGTTTAGAATCAGATTTGTAGAAAGCAAAAAATCTTTATATAACTTTTTATCAAAGGTGTTTAAATATACAATCTTCATAATTTTTCATGAAAGAGTATCAATTTTTTAATCAATTGCACATTAAAGAAATTTCAAAAGAAATATTTTTCTTATTGTACGCATTTGATAAAAATGAAAACATGTTATGAATAAATTGTTTAATTATATACCCAGGTGTGTGCGGTTTACGCCATGTAACAGCATGTAATTAAAATGTTTTAATGACCACACTGTATGTGGTCAAGTTATGTGACAAGTAGATTCTTTAAATACCTTGACGTAAACAATTAACCACAAAATGTATTTTATTGTTAAGTTACCCGGATGTATGCTGTTTACGCCTAAAAACCTCCAACATCCGTCACCATACCAGACCATAAGCTCTTCATACGGCTCTACGTCACGTGACGTCATATAGAAGATGATGCCCTCGCACGTGATAGGAATGACATTTTCCTGCGTATATTTGGGTTTTATTAGCTACTAGTCCCCTACTAGCAAGTGTAATCTGATTCCTTCTTGAATTGAAAATTCCACAGTTTTATATTGAAGCGGAAAAAAAATCAAACTTGATCTATAGCTCATCAAGGTCAAACGATAAACCAGAAAATAAGCTGGATGTTTGCAATCATTTAGAACAAATGTGAGAAGCATTGAAGGTAAACAAAATGCAAAATTGATCTGCAACTGATCAAAATACACTTATATACATACAAAAAAAAATCAGCTTATATATGCCAGTGTTTACAAGTAGGAAAAATGCAGAAAACAAAGTGCGACAGACAGACAGAGGGGCAGAGAAAAGGCTAGACGGGCAGATATACAGAAGTACGTTGGAGAGGACGGATGCAGAGAAAACATTTAGTCCGTCTGGTTTCACCGATAGCTTCATTTCGTTTTCATTTTGTTTGATTCACTATGTGATTTTACCTGCCATGAATAGAAATCCTCCGTCTTGTCTACAGTGTGAATAAAAATCCTCCTTCT